AAGATATGATACATTTGGTCTGAAACAATCCAATGATATCTTATAGGAGTTATTGTCCCTGAAATGATTCAATTTAAGGTTAATTGATTATAACTGCAACTTGGTACATGATAAAGCCATAGGGTCTTTTGCAAACTGTTGGTTGACATATGACCTTGAAAAAAGTAAACCGGAAGTGACCTTGAGTGACCCGGAAGTAGTATTTTTTGCACTTATTTCATGGAAAAGTACCTAGAAACCATATATATTTTTTGAATGATCATAGGTTAACCTATCATTTGAGACCGGAAGTGACATTTTATAAACGGGAAGTAGCATATTATCTTCCTTATTACAGGCATAAGTATATACAAACTATATAATTTTGGAATCAGTGTGAATAAAGCTATCATATGAGACCGGAAGTGACATTTTCTAAACCGGAAGTTGGCAATTATCTCCCTTATTTCAGGCAAAAATATATAGAAACCATTTATTTATTGAATCAGTATGAAGAAATCTATACTTTGACGCTATTAATAACTTTGAGTAAACCAGAAGTAGCTTTCTATCAATTATTTAGGTAATTGATGTGGAAAGACCTTCAATTGTTCTTTGAACAATTGGTTTTTAATTCTGTATAAACTTATTTTCTGAATGCTATATATTTTTTTTGATGAAGCGAACTCCTTTAAAAACTTAGCTTAGTTTGTCTATTAATAAACATATATTTAGATTTCTGATTTTGGGCCCAGTTTTCAAGTTGGTCCAAATCAGGGTCCAAAATTATACTGTGTTTGATTTCAACATAATTTCAAATATATATAGGGTTCTTTGAAATGATGAATCTAAACCTGTATTTATTTTCATTATTAATTAGATAATACCACATTGAGGTCCAAAGGGTCCTAAATTAAACTTTTGTTAGATTTCATCAAAAATTGAATTCTCAGGATTCTTTGATATGCTGATTCTAACAATGTTCTTAGATTTTGGATATTAGACCATGATAGGTAAATGTTCGATTTCAAATTTTTCAGTTCTTTGACCTCATTAATTTTGTGTCACAAACCTATGCTGTGTCAAATATTCAATCACAATCCAAATTCAGAGCTGTTTTAAGCTTAAATGTTGTGTCCATACTTGCTTAACTGTTCAGGGTTCGAACTCTGCATGAAAGTCCAGTTTGCTGTCACTCTGACAGCCTCTTGTTACTTTTACATTACTGTCAGACAGACAGCCTCTTGTTACTTTTACATTTCTGTCAGACAGTGTCACATTGACTTTGACCTTTTTTCATTGTTCAGTGATCAACATGAAGGTGCCATGCAGAGATCTTTTCTCAGTTAATCAGGTAAAGACCTAGCTATAGGAATCATTGTAGGGTATACATGTCCATCTAGCAGGCCTAACTAGACCTTGACCATTTCATGGGTCATTGATCAGTTAAGTTTTTTGATACTTTTAGTACAAAGTTCATCTTAAAGACTATCAACATATATTCACTTCAATTAAAGCATTTTAGACATGTCAGGATGCCGACTATTGTTATTTTTTAATACTATCAAATGTACACGAATGTAAAGTCCAAGTTTGATGATGGCTAAAATTCAAGCAACTTGTCTGTATTTTCTTCCATTTTGTTGGATTGATCCTGTTGTAAGAGGAACTTAGTCTTACCCAAGACTGTGGAAGGTTTGACACCATGAAATTTTTTTACAACTCTTGGAAAGTGTTTACTTAAGTTGAGAATGACCTGCTCATATAGATTGTTTCATCAATTGATATGTTAGGTGTTTTAAGGATGCTTTAGCAACTAGTTATTTTATATTCAAGAAAAAATGCTGAGTTGGATGATAAGGTCAAAATTTGTTACCACATGAAACTAAATACAGCATATAGCATTCTTTTTGATAAATTTATTGATATAATATTTTTATTGTATTTGTTAAATTCTGTTTTCAGTCTAACAAATTGAGTGTTCCGATAATGTGATACATGAGTTAAAAAAGGGTGTTAGCAAATATAATATTTTTAATGACAAAAGTGATTATGAAAATGTAAATGTTTAGCAGTTATTCATAAGCAAATGTAGGTGTTAATGCAATGCTCATATCAAATTTTAATCAATGGAATGTCTGCTGTTGTGCTGTATATACAAACAGAAAAGCTTCTATTTATTTATCTTTAGGTCCGAAATTGAAATATAACAGCTCATTAAGATAGTATAAAAAACTGAGGACTACTCACTGGCTGATTAATGTATTTATAAAAATAGTTCAATTTCAGAAATGTTAATATTTTTTTTATAGGGGTAGCAAATTTTGTTTAAGGGTTTAAAGAAAGTTGAAATACACACATTTTATACATTATCAAATACCTGAAGAGAATTTAAAAAGGGAAGTTCTCATACTGGATAGAGGGTTTGTTGCTTAGTACAAAAGTTGAGGTTCTCATACTGTATAGAGGGTTTGTTGCTTTGTATAAAAATTGAGGTTCTCATACGTTGTAGAGGGTGTGTTGCTTTATATTAAGGGAGGTTCTCATGCTGTATCGAGGGTTTGTTGCTTTGTATAAAAAGGGAGGTTCTCATACTGTGTAGAGGGTTTGTTGCTTTGTATAAGAAGGGAGGTTCTCATAATGTGAAGAGGGTTTGTTGCTTTGTATAAAAAGGGAGGTTCTCATACTGTATAGAGGTTTTAATGCTACATATATAAATGGAGGTTTTAACACTGTATAAACAGTTCGTTGCTTTGTATAAAAAGGGAGGTTTTAATACTGTATAGAGGGTTAAAGAGGTTCTCATACTGTATAGAAAGTTTGTTGCATTGTATAAAAAAAGAAGTTTTTACTGTATAGAGGTTTTATGGCTACATATGTAAAAGGAGGTTCTCATGCTGTATTTAGGGTTTGTTGCTACATATATGAAGGGAAGTTCTCCCATTATTAAGAGGGTTTATGGCTTAGGCTACATATATAAAGGGAGGTTCTCATGCTGTATTTAGGGTTTGTTGCTACATATATGAAGGGAAGTTCTCCCATTATTAAGAGGGTTTATGGCTTAGGCTACATATATAAAGGGAGGTTCTCATGCTGTATTTAGGGTTTGTTGCTACATATATGAAGGGAAGTTCTCCCATTATTAAGAGGGTTTATGGCTTAGGCTACATATATAAAGGGAGGTTCTCATGCTGTATTTAGGGTTTGTTGCTACATATATGAAGGGAAGTTCTCCCATTATTAAGAGGGTTTATGGCTTAGGCTACATATATAAAGGGAGGTTCTCATGCTGTATTTAGGGTTTGTTGCTACATATATGAAGGGAAGTTCTCCCATTATTAAGAGGGTTTATGGCTTAGGCTACATATATAAAGGGAGGTTCTCATGCTGTATTTAGGGTTTGTTGCTACATATATGAAGGGAAGTTCTCCCATTATTAAGAGGGTTTATGGCTTAGGCTACATATATAAAGGGAGGTTCTCATGCTGTATTTAGGGTTTGTTGCTACATATATGAAGGGAAGTTCTCCCATTATTAAGAGGGTTTATGGCTTAGGCTACATATATAAAGGGAGGTTCTCATGCTGTATTTAGGGTTTGTTGCTACATATATGAAGGGAAGTTCTCCCATTATTAAGAGGGTTTATGGCTTAGGCTACATATATAAAGGGAGGTTCTCATGCTGTATTTAGGGTTTGTTGCTACATATATGAAGGGAAGTTCTCCCATTATTAAGAGGGTTTATGGCTTAGGCTACATATATAAAGGGAGGTTCTCATGCTGTATTTAGGGTTTGTTGCTACATATATGAAGGGAAGTTCTCCCATTATTAAGAGGGTTTATGGCTTCGGCTACATATATAAAGGGAGGTTCTCATGCTGTATTTAGGGTTTGTTGCTACATATATGAAGGGAAGTTCTCCCATTATTAAGAGGGTTTATGGCTTCGGCTACATATATAAAGGGAGGTTCCCATGCTGTATTTATGGTTTGTGGCTATATTTATAAAGGGAAGTTCTCATGCTTTTGTGAGGATTTGTTGCTACATGGATAAAGGGAGGTTCTCCCATTGTAAATAGGGTTTATGGATTCATATATAAAGGGAGGTTCTCATGCTGTATTTAGGGTTTGTGGCTACATATATGAAGGGAGGTTCTCCCATTATTAAGAGGGTTAATGGCATCGGCTACATATATAAAGTGAGGTTCTCGTGCTGTATTTAGGGTTTATGGCTACATATATAAAGTGAGGTTCTCGTGCTGTATTTAGGGTTTCTGGCTACATATATAAAGGGAGGTTCTCATGCTGTATTTAGGGTTTGTGGCTACGTATATAAAGTGAGGTTCTCAAGCTGTATTTAGGGTTTATGGCTGCATATATAAAGTGAGGTTCTCGTGCTGTATTTAGGGTTTCTGGCTACATATATAAAGGGAGGTTCTCATGCTGTATTTAGGGTTTGTGGCTACGTATATAAAGTGAGGTTCTCAAGCTGTATTTATGGTTTGTGGCTACATATATAAAGGGAGGTTCCCATGCTTTTTGGGATTTGTGGCTACGTAGATAAAGGGAGGTTTTCCCATTGCAAAGAGGGTTTATGGCTTCATATATAAAGGGAAGTTCTCTCATTTTATAGAGGGTTTATGGCTACATATATTAAGGGAGGTTCTTGCATGTAAAGAGGGCTTATTGCTACATATATAAAGGGAGGTTCTCCCATTATAAAGAGGATTTATATGGCTATATATATAAAGGGAGATTATCGCACTGTATAGAGGGTTTGTGACTACATATGCATACATTTAAAAATTGCTTAGAAGTCCAATACGAAAAGGTTAATTAATTTGTACTGGAACATTTAAATAAGACCAAAATTGCTTAAACTTGGTTTCTTAAACTAAAGAAGTCGGAACTTGATTTTAGTACAGTGAAATAATTTTTAAATAACATTTAAATTTAACATTTTTTGCTTTATATATTTAAGTTTGGAAATACAACTTTAAGTAAGAATGTTTATACTTTACAGCATGTACAGGTCAAAGTGGTGGGGAATACATCACAGCCAGCAACATCAATCAGTTTGAGAATTGTACAATTATAAATGGAAATCTCAAAATTGTAGAAGCTTCATTTACAGGGTAAGATCTTAAAAATATAATTTTATGGTCTGGTTATTTTAATTCCATCAATTTTTTTACTGAAATATAAGGCAAAAATTAGAATTCATTGAAGAAGAGAAAGAAAGAACACCACCGATGTAAAGAAATCAAAATGATTGCATATTTCAATGTAAGTTATCATTATTTTCATACTGTTTGCTAGTTGTCCGTCATCATTTTGTTGAAGCTATGCCTTCATTACTTGTTAAATCCTTTATAAAAGTTTCCACTCTATAAAACCTCAGATGAGTTCAATAATCAGAAAATCTTAAAGAACAACAAATTTTTAAACCAAGGGGACTGCAAAAACCGACTCCGATCAAAGTATCCCATATTAATTCTTGTAGCCGGGATATCAACATTATTACTTATCAGATCCTCTTCAAATTTGTATACATATTTCCACTTATTAAAACTTTGAATGAATGAATTTCATAATCAGGAAAATCAGAAATGGGAGAGGATTGTTCATGGAGAAGGACTTTGTGAAAATATCCCATATTAATTATATAGGGCATTGAATAAGTGAGGTTGTGCACTTAAGGTGCTTTAAAGGGGCATTAGCTGTCAAATTCATGTTCACGGATTTGACTCAAATTGTCATATTTAAAGTTAAATTAAAGGTCATGAATACGGATTCAGAATTGTACTGCTATTGAATTATTGTTTTCCCATACCCTAATTTGCTTACAGCTTGTCCATATGCAGTGTTACTGGTAGTTTTAAGTATATATGCATACATTGATGCAATAATTTATGATCACCAGAAACTCCTTTTCATATGATTTTGAACAAATATAACAAAATTCCAAATTTCCAAAATATAAATACTGTTATCTGACAGACTTATAACTGTGAACCTGTGAAGTATGTTATTTTATACGTTTATAAATACCTTTTGATTTTCAAATTAAATCTCCATAAACATACCTTCTAATTTGGAATGTTTCAAAATTAATATTAACCCTTTCATCCCCAACGATGCCTTGAGGCATCGCCTGGCACGCGCCCAACAATGCCTCAAGGCATCGCCTGTCGCGTGCCCAACGATGCCTTCAGGCATCGTAGAATTAATTCGACAATAAATGGACTGCACGAACCTAAAATGTTACGTAAATGCATGTTGGGTCGAATAAACGATGTGCATGTTCAATCTTTCGTAATATCTACTTGATTAGGGCATAGATGCCGTTTGAAACGTAAAATAACCTGTTTGAAATACCGAAGCAGGTGCAAAAAAAATATCCTGTCTCGAAGTTTAATCAGAGTCAAAATTAAAAACAAATGTGAGTGTTTTCAATCTACCATGTGTTTCCCTGGTGCACTCAAGTCACAACGAGGATTCTTGGAACTCATTTGCATATTGTTATGATTTTATATTTTCACAAATGGTAACTAATAATACGTATATGTGTAATTAAAACATACAAAACCGAGTATGTCTCGCATAGATCTTGATATTTTCTTCAATTTTTTTAATAAATAAATATTCAACAACTCTTTTCTTATCAACTAGCATTGAGCGTTGGAATGTGTATTCACATTTCATTTTATTTATAACTCTGACCTTATATCGTCCAATTAAAACTCGGGGTTCCCTTCTTTATACATGTGATATGTCATGTGATTAAAAAATGTCGTCTGTAAACCAAAGAACAAAATTGAAATGTCCGATTCTTCAGACGAGGAATTCTTAGGTTTTGAAGTCGACGAAATTCAACAGGCTGTTCAACGGTACGAACAAATATTACTAGATCAAGGAATTGGGGATGATTTTGAATTCAATACTTCAGGAAACGAGTCTGAGGGCTCAGAAACAGAACCGACCATTCCTATCTATAATGTCAATGACCAAGTAGTCCCAGATATAGACAATGTTGCAAACACCTGGCATCACAATTTTGATATTCATGAAAGGGGTTTACCTCATTTATTCACACCTAGAGGTCCAGATGGAAGGGCAACAGGCCCAGCTACCATTTTAGCTGCTGATAAGGGTCCAATAGATTTCTTCAAACTTTTCTTGAATGACATAATTTTTGAACATATAATTAATGAAACTGAAAGTTATGCCATCCAACAAATTGCTGAAAACCCAGACAGTAATAAATCTGCCTGGTCAAAACCTAGTTTGCCAGAAATTAAAGCTTTTATTGGTCTTTGCTTTTTGATGGGAATTGATGTTAAACCAGAAACCAAACTATACTGGTCAACTGATCCCTTCATGGAATCTCCAATATTCGGTAAAACAATGCCCAGGAATAGATTTATGCAAGTCATGAGGTACCTTCATTTCAGTGACAACCATAATGCACAACAACCAGGTCATCCATCATATGATGTACTTTATAAAATAAGAAACATCTTGAATATGTTTAACACATCAATGAAAAGAGAATTTGTCCCTACACGCCAGGTCTCAATAGACGAATGCATGATCCCCTTCAAAGGAAGGGTCAAATTCAAACAATATATGCCAGCCAAACCAACTAAATGGGGTATTAAGATATGGGCATTAGCAGATTCAAATACAGGATACATCTGCTATACAGATGTTTATACAGGAAAAACTGATAGACCGCAAGGCCAATTGGGTGAACATGTTGTAAAAAAATGTATAGAGGGGGCTGATATTGTTGGGCAGGGATATCATGTATATGTTGACAATTTCTTTTCTTCACCAAAACTATTCCAAGACCTGTTTGATAACTATCAAACTGCAGCATGTGGAACAGTCCGCAAAAACAGAAGCGGTTTACCAGCTGATTTCATGTTAAAACACCCTGTTGGTATTGATAATAGGGGGGACATGAAGTTTTTTCAAAGGAAGTCGATCTCTGGAGTCTTATGGAAAGACAAAAAAATTGTAACTGCAATTTCAACAATCCATGATCATTCCAGGTTTGAAGTACAGCGTTTGGTTCAAATAGATGGGCAATTTGATAAAGCAGATATACCATGTCCAAAAATCATAGTCGACTACACTAAATACATGGGAGGTGTTGACAAAGCAGACCAGTATATTCAGTACTACTGCTTTAACCAAAAAACCCAGAAGTGGTATAAACGGGTGTTCTTTAAATTTCTGGAAATTTTGAAATACAATGCATACAGGCTTTTCTTATTGAGTCCAAATCATCAAACCGTTGGAAACTCACCTGCTATGACATATCTCCAATTCTCACGTCAGATTGAACATTAAGATCAAGATTGTCAAAATGCTTTATTTTTTTTGCATACTTTGTGTTACAGAGATATCCAATATAAGATACCAGGGGTTACAGTTGCTGATTTACAAATTCTTAAGAGCATCAAGGAAGTAACAGGATATATAATGATACAGTCAAACGACACAAACTTCAGAAACTTATCTTTTCTTTCAAACTTGGAGGTTATCCATGGAAGAGAGGTTGATGCGTAAGTTTTTCTAGTTTTTTTGATACATCACAAATAAATACTTATTGTCAATTGTCAGTATGATATATTTTATTCAAGATTTATAATAGATTTTTTACACCCAAACATACAGGTATGAATCCATTTCTTGAAATTGTCAATTAAATTTGAATTTTATATTGAGCTATTTTATGTTAGGTATGGAAACCAGTATGGCTGAAGAGAAACTGCATACGTCCAGATGACTTCCTTTACTTCATTACCTGTGTTAAACTTGACAAATTTACTTTAAACACTTTTTTCTTTAAAAAACTTTCATTGAATTATGATAGGATTGACCAGTTTCAATGAAATAAGTAAATTTTTAATGACTATATTACTTTTGAAAACAGCCAAAATAGTTCATGACTGGTCTTATTTTGTTACTTTGGAGATGTAGGTGTATATAGAAGATTTTAACCTGATACTGAACCACAACAAAGGTTCTAAGCCAATCCAGAGATATGGAAGAACACTTATTATGAAAATTCCTCTAACTATTTATCTTGTAGCATTGAAATTATTTCATTCTATCAAAATATTTGTTTAACAAATTGCAATTAAATTTGCAAATAGACATTCTTTGCATGTAAGTTTACCGTAGGTTATATGTAGTCAAAATGTCTTTACAAAAATTCTATCAGATACAAATATTCCAAATCATTTGACAATTTAACATAAAAAGACTTTCACTTTCATACATATGTGACAAAAAGGGATGTTATACAGACATTAAGGGCTGAATAATGCTGAAATAACAATCATGATCAGTTAGACTCTTTGGTGAAATAATATTATTTTATTTTCAGAACACAAAGTTCCCTGAATGTCATGTTTACGCCACTCAAGACGCTAGACTTAACATCATTAAAGCAGATAAAAAACGGCCATGTTACTGTAGCATTTAATCATCATTTATGTTACATTTCTGATATCAATTTTACACCTATGTTTGTTCACAAAGATTTACAGATGGTCAGAAAAATGAACAATAAGAAGTCAGAATTGTGTAGTAAGTTTAATTGTAAATTTCAAGACATTTGTGTAATAGGGCTGTTCAAGATTTTTTATGACTTACATGTTTTCCATTTTATTTCTATAGGGCTCTGAAAAATGATTAATAATAATAATTATAAAATTCTTTATTTAATAATAATTATAAAATTCTTTATATAACGAAGGTAACTCATATAACAATAACATGTTAATCTTCCCTTAAAAAAAACTACTAATACAAATTGAAAAAATACAACCAAATTAAATACATAATACAGTTAACTATATAAAATAGCTTAAATATTGAGTAAGCACATATGCATTCAATAGAAGGAAGAAAAAAATACATTAGATTCAGGTATCTGCATTCTGTAAAGTTAAAAAATAGGTATAACTTTTGATCTTAAGTGTATCTAAATTATTTGTTTTCTTTATATTATTTGGCAAATTATTCTAGGTAAGGCCAGAATATTTAAATGTTTTTTAAAAAAAAATCAGAATTAGGTCTTGGTACATGAAGCACTCATGATATTATCATCCTGAGCGAATAGCTATAAGATCAGTACATGCAGTAAATTTATTAGTTGCTAGACCATTCATACATTCAAACATTAAAACAGCTTGAAAATATTGTATCCTCGAAAACATAGTCATCCATTCAAAGTTCTTTAAACATTAAAGTTGATGGAAAATCTAAAAGAAAAAGATAAAATTAATCTTGCAGCACGTTTTTGGAGCTTATGAATCCTTTCCAGATAAAAGTTTGTGGTAAGACGGTCTAAGACCCCATACGGTACAACAGTAGTCAGTTATATAGTCGACTCTCGTTATCTCAAAGTCAGCCAGACCAGAGAAATAGTTTGATTTACATGTAGTTTGACTCAAACGAAAACTGGAAGTTTGACAGAACAAGGGACATAACTCTTGCTTAGCTTGGTAAGGCTAAAATAAATCCAGAGGAATTTGGGTATGGGATCGATATTCTGGTCTGAGATCAAAGTATCTGTTTTTAATGGTCTTTATTCTTAAAATACAATTATATGGTTTTTGTCTCTTATTTATTTCTGTGTACAGTTACAATTTTTCCTGCAGTTTTAAGCCTTGATAGTAATTTCCAATCGATCTTAGCATATACAAGAGGTTTTAGGAAATTTTGATTTCTTAATTTTGCATTTTTTTTATTTCAATCTTTTTCTGCAATAGAAAAAACAAAAAGATGAAAGATGCTTTTTGAGTAGTTATGAGTTAATCACTAACCCAGAGGTCATGTTTTGACATCTGTGTATTAATATTTCGAGAAATGCTATTGTTAATCTTGGGACCGTAAATTTGATTCGAGTCAACCGAAATTTCGACTCATCAGGAGTCGAATTACATTTATTTATATGGGACAAAATTCAGGACCATGGGAAAACACTGACTCATCTGAAATTTGGAGTTCGAGACAACAAGAGTTAACTGTATATAGCTTTTGTAAAAAAGAACAAGACCCTTTAATGGTAAATAATGTTTCAACCTTTTTAACAGGTATATTCTGCTTGAAATAATTTCACATATTTTATCAATTTGATTTGACCATGAATGATTTTTATCAATATGGATCCCAAGAAGTTTTTCAACTTCAACATTATCTAAAGAGATATTATCTTGTGATAAAATAAACATCCATTGCAGGTTTCTAGTTTTCTGTCTGATCCAACAAGCATACATTTTGATTTCTTGTTATGATTAATTGAAAATAAGATTTTAAAAGACACATATGAATGAAATAAGATACAAGGCAAGAGCTGTTAGAGTTGCTAATTTATAGTTTTTGATAATATTTTCAGAATTAATTTGGTACTAGCTTTTGATAAGAAGTTTTATTTCTTTCAGCAAAGTTTGACAATCAATTTTTCAAATGTTTATCCAAGGTAAAACCAATGTTTTGCATTTTTGCCTATTATCATGAAAACTAGCAAATAGAGAGAAACTTAAAATAACAAACATGATCAGCAAGACAAGAATTTCAAATTAATTAACAATCCTTAATTGTCAAACGACTCTTTCCAGAAGTTATTGCTTTTAAATGACACTATATCAATTTTTGGGTTTTTAAATAATGCGAGATTATAAGAGATAGATAGATACTTTAAAAAGCAGAAATGATCTGACAGCAGGACAAGACCTACAAATAGGTCATCATGGCCTAAATTGTCAGTCACTCCTTATAGGGGTTATTTTACCCTTTTTATATGCCTGTTTACGGGACGTATTATGGTTATACCGTTGTCTGTCCGTCCGTCCGTCGTCAACATGTCAGACAATAACTCAAAAACACTTTAACCAATTTGCATGAAACTTTGGTCAATTGTTTATATCTTTTGACGTGAGCTCCCTTTCGTTTTTTATAAATTTTAGATTTTACGTTTCCGAGTTATGGGGCTTTATTCAATAAAAACAGGGATTTTCCAGTTTTCGGACAATAACTCAAAAATGATTTCAGCAGTTTTTATGAAACTTTGGGGAATTGTTTATATTTATTGATGTAAGCTCCCTTTTGATTTTTATAAATTTTAGATTTTACATTTCCAAGTTATGGGATTTTATTCATAAAAAAGGGGGGATTTTCCAGTTTTCTGACAATATCTTTAAAGTGCTTCAAGCAGTTTTTATGAAACTTTGGTGACTGGTTTATATCTATTAAGATAACCTCCCTTTAGTTTTTCATAAATTTCTGATATGACATTGAGAAGTTATTGCACTTTATTCTTTGAAAACGTGATGGGCGTATCATGCGCTCATAGCGCAGCTGTTTATTTGAATTTTGGGCAAAAACTATGGAAGATAGAGAAAAACCATAAACTCTCAAAATGACCAGCAAGACGAGACTAACAATTATGTCAATAAAGATACAATTTCAGTCCACTTCCTATTGGAGTTGCTGCCCTTGAATGATGATCTTTACCCATTTTTGTGTTATTTGGCAAAAACTATAGTAGATAGGAGAGAGAAAACAGAAAAAATGATCAGCAATACAAGTTCAACATAAAAGAGATTTTTGTGATTTATGTTTTAGTCTACAATGTTGAAGTGTGGTCATTGTTAAAGATGCACACATAACTAGGTGAGCAACACATGCTCTTTAGAGCCTCATGTGAAGATGATGTCTATGAAGCATACAAAAAAAAAGCCAAAAAGGTTTCTCTTTTGTTTTCTTTTAAAAGTGGAATTATTCAAATGACGTCATATTGTTTATATGCCAAAGTCAGTCACAACAACAGAATTTCAAATCATGCAGTTTAAGATCTATCTAAACAAATGAAATTTTGTTTGGTGTTACATTGGAATTAGGATTAAGGGAGGCTTTATATTTGATTTTTGATTTACTATGGCAAGTTCCTGTTTAGTAATCTGTTTGACACTTCCAAGGGTATAGTCAGTGTGCAATAGTAAAGGACAATTTCTCTTTTATTAGAAGATGAAGGTGAAGTTTGTGATCAAAGTTGTTCAGATGATGGATGTTGGTTCAAGGGACCAGATAAATGTTTACAGTGCAGAAAGTTCAAGATAGACAACAGTAGTAATATCTGTATCAATGATTGTTCACAACTGCCATGGTTGTATGAAGTAGGAAATTTGTGTAAATTTTGTGATGTGGAGTGTGAGTCTACATGCTCAGGTCTTGTAAGTAATTCCTTTGTTTATTTTGTAATTGTAGATTTTCTAATTTTTATACGACCGCAAAAAAATTTTGTGGTCGTATATTGGTATGACGTTGGCGTCGTCGTCGTCGTCGTCGTCGTCCGGCGTCGTCGTCCGAATACATATTAGTTTTCGCACTCTAACTTTAGTTTAAGTGAATGGATCTTTTTGAAATTTGACCATAAGGTTAAATACCACAAAAGGAAGGTTGGGATTGATTTTGGGGGTTATGGTACCAACAGTTAAGGAATTAGGGGCCAAAAAGGGGCCAAAAATGAGCATTTTCTAGTTTCCAGACAATAACTGTGGAACGGTGTATGGATCTCTCTGAAATTATACTACAAGTTTCCATACCACAAAGGGATGGTTAGGATTTGCTTTGGGGGGTTATGGCTCAAACCGTTTAGGAATTAGGGGCAAAAAAGGGGGAAAAACAAGGTTGTCCTGGTTAATGGACAAATACTTTAGTACAAAACATAATTTAAAGCAGTGTAAGGGAGATAAATCAAATACATCAATGAAATTATCTCCCTTACACTGCTTTTAAATTATGTATAAAGTAATGGTTAATGAACAATAAAGATAATCTAAAACAGTGTAAGGGAGGTAATCCAAATACAACGTTTTGGTTACTTCCCTTACACTGCTTTTAAATTATGTTTAAAGAAATGCATATTTTTAAAGAAATGCATATTTATAAAGGAAGACCAGTAAAAATATCTGCAAATGTTTTCATCTTTTTTTTTTACAAAAAAATCCATATGAAAGATTTGACACTATATTTTTATTAATTCTATTATAACATAGATTAAGTTAGCACTATGGTAAATTTAAATGGGTAATTATGGTTGCCATCTCCATTGGAAATTTGAATTGAGATTATGACCATATCTTGAGGGAAAGAATTTTTTTGGGGGAAAAAAGGGGGGGGGGGGATAAAAAGAAATTGTGGGGGGCCAATTTTTTCTCATTTCAGATTTCAGAAATTAAAAAGAATTATTCTTCAAATATTTTTTTTTTTTTTTTCAAATTTCAAATATTGAAAAATTTCAAGAAGTAATCTTTAATTGCACAGTATGGCGCATTAGATTTGTAAAATCTTTGATCACATTTATTTATTTGTTATGCCGAATCTAACAGTGTATTTAGATTTTTAATTTTGGGTCCAGTTTTCAAATTGGTCTACATTAATGTCCAAAGGGTCCAAAATTAAACTTTGTTTGATTTTAGCAAAAATTGAATATATGAGGTTCTTTGATATGCTGAATCTAAACATGTATTTAGATTTTTGATTTTTGGCCCAGTTTTCAAGTTGGTCCAAATTGGGGTCCAAAATTAAACTTTGTTTGATTTCAACAAAAATTGAATATATGGGGTTCTTTGATATGCTGAATCTAACCATGTATTTAGATTTTTTATTTGTGGACCCCGTTATCTAATTGGTTCATATTGAGGTCAAAAGGGTCCAAAATTAAACTTTGTTTGATTTCATCTAAAATTGAATTATTGGGGTTCTTTGATATTCCAAATCTAACTGTGTATTTAGGTTTTTAATTTTGGGTCCTGTTTTTTAAATTGGTCTACATTGAGGTCCAAAGGGTCCAAAATTAAACTTAGTTTGATTTTAACAAAAATTGAATTCTTGGGGTTCTTTGATTTGCTGAATCTAAACATGTGTTTAGATTTTTGATTATGGGCCCAGTTTTCAAGTTGGTCCAAGATAGGGTCCAGTATTTAAACTTTGTTTGATTTCAACAAAAATTGAATATATGGGGTTCTTTGATATGCTGAATCTAAACATGTATTTAGATTTTTGATTATGGGCCCAGTTTTCAAGTTGGTCCAAATTGGGGTCCAAAATTAAACTTTGTTTGATTTCAACAAAAATTGAATATATGAGGTTCTTTGATATGCTGAATCTAACCATGTATTTAGATTTTTTATTTGTAGGCCCCGCTATCAAATTGGTTCATATTTAGGTCAAAAGGGTCCAAAATTAAACTTTGTTTGATTTCATCGAAAATTGAATTATTGGGGTTCTTTGATATGCCAAATCTAACCGTGTTTTTAGATTTTTAATTTGGGTCCCGTTTTTTAAATTGGTCTTCATTGAGGTCCAAAGGGTCCAAAATTAAACTTTTTTTGATTTCAACAAAAATTGAATATATGGGGTTCTTTGATATGCTGAATCTAACCATGAATTTAGAATTTTTATTTGTGGGCACCGCTATCAAATTGGTTCATATTGAGGTCAAAAGGGTCCAAAATTAAACTTTGTTTGATTTCATCAAAAATTGAATTATTGGGGTTCTTTGATATTCCCAATCTAACCGTGTATTTAGATTTTTAATTTTAAGTCCCGTTTTTTAAATTGGTCTACATTAAGGTCCAAAGGGTCCAAAATTAAACTTAGTTTGATTTTAGCAAAAATTGAATTCTTGGGGTTCTTTGATATGCTGAATCTAAACATGTGTTTAGATTTTTGATTATGGGCCCAGTTTTCAAGTTTGTCCAAGTTGGGGTCCAAAATTAAACTTTGTTTGATTTTAACAAAAATTGAATATATGGGGTTCTTTGATATGCTGAATCTAACCATGTATTTTGATTTTGGACATTGGACCATAATAGGTAAATTAAAAAAATTCAAGTTCTTAGACCACATTCTTTCTGTGTCAGAAACCTATGCTGTGTCAAATATTTAATAACAATCCAAATTCAGAGCTGTATCAAGCTTGAATGTTGTGTCCATACTTGCCCCAACTGTTCAGGGTTCGACCTCTGCGGTCGTATCAAGCTGCGCCCCAGCGAAGCATTTTATTAAGGTTTAGTCTATCGAGCAAACAAGAAGCCAAAAAGGTGTTTAACACTTAAATTTTTGTATGACATCATATTATTATACGAAAGTCATCATTTACCACAGAATTTAATTCATGCAATGAAATCAAGTATTTATGGACAGTAGGTAACAAAAGCCACTGTAACAGTTTTTTAATATGACCGCAAAATTTTTGCATTCATATTATGCTATTGCAATGTTTGCGTCGTTGTTCGAAGACATTTTGGTTCACAGATTATAACTTGAGTATAAGTGTATGGATCTCTATGAAATTTTAGCACAAGGTTCCATACCACAATAGGAAGGTTGAGATTGATTTTTGGGGTTATTGTCATAGCAGTTTCATAATTAAGGGCCAAAAAGGGGCCAAAAACAAGCATTTTTCTTGTCGTCCGAAGACATTTTGGTTCACAGACTATAACTTGAGTATAAGTGTATGGATCTATATGAAATTTTAGCACTAGGTTCCATACCACAATTGGAAGTTTGGGATTGAATTTGGGGGTTATTGTCCAAGCTGTTTAATAATTAAGGGCCAAAAAGTGGCCTGTCTTCAAATTGATCCACATTAGATCCAAAGGGTCCAAAATTAAACTATGTTTGATTTAAAAATAAATTAAATTCTTGGGGTTCTTTGACATGCTGAATCTAACAGTGTATTCAGATTTTTGATTTTGGGACCGGTTTTCAAATTGGTCTACATTAAAGTCCAAAGGGTCCAAAATTAAACTTTGTTTGATTTTAACAATAATTGAATTCAAGGGTTTTTTTTATATGCTGAATCTAAAGATGTGTTAAGATTTTTTATTTTTCAAGATGGTCCAAACTGGGGTACAAAATTCAAAGCTGTATTGCACGATAATTATAAATTATAAGTAGAGTCATAGTTAAAAATAGATATAACATCAAATCATGTATAAATATTATGGTACAGTGATCACTGATGCCTTAAAATTTTTCAAGATACCCAGGTTTGTCTGTAAGAGTAAATTTTGAGGTGAAAATGCAGCCATTTTAGCCAAAGGGTCAACACGAACCTTGAATCCGCTACATTCTATATGTGCCTGTCCCGAGTCATGTCACATTACTGAAAAATTGGAAAGGGATTTGAATAAATAAAAGGCAACATATTAGAATGTTGTGACATCAGGGGACACAGATTTGAGTGTCATGACGTCATGGGACACAGATGTGAGGATAGGACACTGATTTGGGGCTTGACTTGGATGTAACATATTCACTTGCAATTATGGCATAATTAGCCTATTATTTTATATCCAAATGAAATCCCACTTACCTTAATTAATTTTGAAATAAAAAGTGTTTTATAAAGAATATTTGCAGTATTTCTCAGTGTAATTTATCAATACAAACATTATTTCACTAATTGTATCTTTTGTTTTTTCAGGGACCAGAGAATTGTCATAAGTGTAAACATAATGCTGTGACTAGACAATATAAAGATGGCAAAATGATAAAAAAATGTATAAAGGAATGTCCGGAAATGTTTTATCCTGACCAAGATAAGATATGTCAGGAATGTCACAATTACTGTGATGATGGGTAAGTTGGGTATTCAAAGACTTTCATAAATGTTTTGTGATTGTAGTTCCAACTAAATGCCTATTAAGATTTCAGAGGTATCGTAAAAAGCTTTCATGTTATTTCAAAGATACCAGTATTTAGGAATGTAAAGTACCATGCTTATTAGTCTCCTACCAACGAAGTCGAAGGGGACTTTAGGTTTGCACTCTGTCCGTCTGTCTGTCCATCCGTCAGTCGGGCAAATCAGTTTTCCAGACCTTTTTTTCTTCATGCTTGAAGATATTGATTTGATATTTGGTGTATTGTTTTATCATGACAAGTTACAGGTCAAGTTCGATTTTCACGATTTTAGCTTTTCTCCTTGTTCAGTTAAAGCCCTTTCCCTAGAATTAAATTTTTGATGAAATACTTATTGCTTACTAGATTTCAGTTCAAAGGGAATTAACTCTTTTTTATACAACCGCAAAAAAATTTTGCGGTCATATATTGGTATGACGTTGGCCTCGTCGATTCGTCCATAGACACATTGGTTTTCGCACTCTAACTTTAGTTTAAGTGAATGGATCTCTATGATATTTTACCATAAGGTGCAATACCACAAAAGGAAGGTTGGGATAGATTTTGGGGGTTATGGTACCAACAGTTAAGGAATTAGGGGCCAAAAATAAGCATTTTTGTAACTTCCAGACATAACCTGTATGTTAGTGAATGCTCTCTGACATTGTACCACAAGGTTCCATATCACAAAGGGAATGCTGGGATTGATTTTTGGGGGTAATTGCCTCAAAATTTTAGGAATTAGGGGCCAAAAAAGGGGCAAAAAACAAGCATTTTTCTAGTTTCATGACAATAACTTGTGTGTAAGTGTATGGATCTTTATGAAATTGTACTACAAGGTTCCATATCACAAAGGGAAAGCTGGGTTTGAGTTTGGGGGTAATTGCCTTAAACATTTAGGAATTTGGGGCCAAAAAGGGGCCTAAAAACAAGCATTTTACTAGTTTCCAGACAATAACTTGTGTTCAAGTGTATGGATCTCTCTGAAATTGTACTGCAAGGTACCATACCACAAAGGGAAGGCTGGGATTGAGTTTGGGGGTGATGAATCATAAGGGGTTCAAAAAATTTGGGGGGGGGGGGGGGGGGTTTCCTTTTTTTTCTTTAAAATTTTCCATTTTAAATTGGTTATTTCTGATTTCTATATAAAAGCAAATAATAATGATATGGTTTGAATAGGTAAATTAAAAATTTTTAAGTTCTTAGACCACATTCATTCTGTGTCAGAAACCTATGCTGTGTCAAATATTTAATTACAATCCAAATTCAGTGCTGTATCAAGCTTGAATGTTGTGTCCATACTTGCCCCAACTGTTCAGGGGTCAGCCTCTGCGGTCATATCAAGCTGCGCCCAGCGGAGCATTTTATTTAACTTTCCCTAGAATTAAATTTTTGATGAAATACTTATTAATTACTAGGTTTCTGTTTAAAGGGAAATAACTCTTTTTTTTTTTAAAGATTTGTAAAAGAAATATAGCTCAACATGCAGACTTCTTATACGTTCAGGTATTTCACATCCAATTTTTTATGGAAATATTCTTTATAAAGCACAAAAATGTCAGTATTCACCTCTGAAACTAACAAAACCTTTAAATAGACTTATTAAGAAGGGATATAGTTACGATACTGTTGTCAGGTCATTAAAGATTGCATATTTTGGCGTTAATATTGATTCACTTATAGGGTCTTTGCATCGGCACTAAACACATTTATTTAAAAACCAGTTGTTGGCATGACACGGGTTATGTTCTTCTCATATATGTTATGATGGTATGATACTAAACCCCTAACGGGAAGGATTGTGCCTGATATTCATATGATGAAGACATAATCTTTCAATCAGTTTAATTGAAGTCTGGAGCTGGCATGTCAGTTAACTGCTAGTAGTCTGTTGTTATTTATGTATTATTGTCATTTTGTTTATTTTCTTTGGTTACATCTTCTGACATCAGACTGGGACTTCTCTTGAACTGAATTGTAATGTGCGTATTGTTATGCGTTTACTTTTCTACATTGGCTAGAGGTATAGGGGGAGGGTTGAGATCTCATAAACATGTTTAACCCCGCCGCATTTTTGCGCCTGTCCCAAGTCAGGAGCCTCTAGCCTTTGTTAGTCTTGTATTATTTTTAATTTTAGTTTCTTGTGTACAATTTGGAGTTTAGTATGGCGTTCATTATCACTGAACTAGTATATATATTTGTTTAGGGGCCAGCTGAAGGACGCCTCCGGGTGCGGGAATTTCTCGCTGCATTGAAGACCTGTTGGTGGCCTTCTGCTGTTGTCTGTTCTGTGGTCGGGTTGTTGTCTTTTTGACACATTCCCCATTTCCATTCTCAATTTTATTGTATTAAGATAAATGACATTTTGGATTTTTTTCCTTTTCTTTAGTAAATTGTTTGAAGAATTTAGTGGTAGGTTTGCTCCATTACAATGAATTTTTAACCGGTAGAGGACTATGTATTGCCATGCAATACTCACAGAATGCTTGTTTATTTTTAAGTTGTACTGGTCCCTCTCATACTGTAAAGTACAGTGATCATTTATTTTTAAGTTGTACTGGTCCTTCTCAGACTGTAAAATACAGTGATCATTGACTTTTAAGTTATACTGGTCCTTCTCAGACTGTAAAGTACAGTGATCATTGACTTTTAAGTTGTACTGGTCCCTCTCATACTGTAAAGTACAGTGATCATTGACTTTTAAGTTGTACTGGTCCCTCTCATACTGTAAAGTACAGTGATCATTGATTGTGTAGTTGTACTGGTCCTTCTCAGACTGTAAAGTACAGTGATCATTTATTGTGTAGTTGTACTGGTCCCTCTCAGACTTTAAAGTACAGTGATCATTTATTGTGTAGTTGTACTGGTCCCTCTCAGACTGTAAAGTACAGTGATCATTTATTGTGTAGTTGTACTGGTCCCTCTCAGACTTTAAAGTACGGTGATCATTTATTGTGTAGTTGTACTGGTCCCTCTCAGACTGTAAAGTACGGTGATCATTTATTGTGTAGTTGTACTGGTCCTTCTCATACTGTAAAGTACGGTGATCATTTATTTTTTAGTTGTACTGGTCCTTCTCAGACTGTAAAGTACGGTGATCATTTATTTTTTAGTTGTACTGGTCCTTCTCAGACTGTAAAGTACGGTGATCATTTATTTTTTAGTTGTACTAGTCCTTCTCAGACTGTAAAGTATGTTGATCATTGATTTTTTAGTTGTACTGGTCCTTCTCAGACTGTTATGGATGGTGGATGTAATAGTTGTAACATTGGTATTGAACAGACGAATCAACGTGGAGACACTATTATTACTTGTATGGATCCAAATGAAGAATCTTGTCCAGTAGGGTTCTACAGACATACAGTGTCTCAGGCACATACAGATAATCCATTAGCTGGGAAAACAGTGAGTTGTCATAGTTTTAAAATATGATCAAGTCAAATTAATGATTTTTTTTATTTAAAATAATTATGTTGTATGTTTCAAAAGAATCTATACTTATGATTGGCTGAAAGCAAGCGTGGGGCATTCCAATATCAAATTGTATTTTTCAATAATATTCAACATTGATGACTGCACATGCTTCCCAAGTCAATGTTACTACAGTGCATAGGGAAACAAAGGAAAATCTTGATATTACTGGTAATTGCATCGTTGCAGCATATAAATGTAAATATTAGAATTGAATGCTTCTTTTTGAAATTTTATAGAATTGTAAAATCGTTGATCTTAAGACACATTTTTGTCTGGTCTTTGACTTTCCGCCTGTGACAAAAGTAGCAGTATGCGAGACATAGGTATTAAAACCTGCGGCAGAGGCGACGATGGTGTAAACTATTTGTTTGAAAATTTGTATATCAGAAGGTAGAAGACCTGGATGTTCATACCTTGTGTGAAGATCCCTTATGTTACGAAGTTTCTGTCTGTCATATTTCCATTGTCCTCGACCTCATTTTCATGGTTCAGTGACTGCTTGAAAAAAAATTACTGTTTTATTTTGTTAAGTGAAATACTTGCTTATTATGAGTATAAACATAACTATATTTGGTATATGGGTTCACCTGACCTCGACCTTATTCAATGGATCAGTGATCAAGGTTAAAGTTATGTGGTCAAGTCTGTATCTCAGATACTATAAGCAATAGGTCAACTATATTTGGTGTATGGAATGACTGTAAGGTGTACCTGTCTGACTGACAGGTTTCATCTGACCTTGACTTCAATTTCATAATTCATTGGACAATATTTAGTTTTTGTGGTTTGGTGTATTTCTCAGATACTATAGAAGCAATAGGTCTACTATATTAGGTGTATGGAAAGATTGTAAGGTGTACATGTCTGTCTGTCAAGGTTCATATATCCTTGAACTCATTTTCATATAACATTAATAATGTTAAGTTTATGTGATATTTGTAGTACATGTAAATCCTTCATATTACACACTTTGTACATGAAATCAATGATAAGTAAAAAAGGCGAGAATATCAGCATGTGCACTCTTGTTTGTATGAAGCACTTCATACAAAATGTAATTTGGTCAAAGCTTTTACACCCCAATAGAATTACAAAAAGAAACATTCAATTTTTAAATGATAGGTATTATTTATAAAAAAGATATATGTTAGAATAAATACAATATTTTACAAATTATCAGCTGTGATGTTATAGTCTTTAATAAAGTAAAATGACAAGAATTTCCAATATAATGTATTTTTTAAATGTAAGGGAAATAGATCCTTGTTTTAGGATTAAGAACCTATCAGCAAGTTTAGCTGGCAAAACAGTGATTCAGCATTATATAAATATGTATATGAACAAAGGGTATATGTCAATGAGACAGCAATCAAAAAAATATATAAAAGATATCAAGTGGACCGCATACAGTCTTCAACAATAGGCAGGTGTCCATATAATATGCCAAGCTCTAAGTCATTCCAAGTCTACAAAAGTTCTGAATAATTTCAACAGAAACAATCAAAGGTCTGTCATAAACAACTTATTTTCCAGAAAACTTGAAGATGTGACAGATTAAAATTAAAGGTCCTGACTTGGGTTAGGCATACAAAAATATGGGGTTGAACTTGTGTTTTGGGGGCATAAAGTTTTACCCTTGTCCGTCTGTACGTCCGTCCGTACGTACGTCCCAAAGTTGGTTTCCGTTCTCTAACTTTAGTTTGCCTCAACCAAATGTTATGAAACTTATACACAATGCTTATTACCACTAAATACAGATCAAATTTGAATTTTGGTGGCGTCACTTTAACCGTTCTAGAGTTATACCCTTTTATAAATGGAAAAATTGCAAAATTTTTAGTTTCCGTTCCCAACTTAAGTTTGCCTCAACCAAATATTATGAAACTTATACACAATGCTTATTACCACAATATACAGATCAAGTTTGAATTTTGGTGCAGTCACTTTTACTGTCCTAGAGTTATGCCCTTTACAAATGGAAAAATTGTTAAATTTTTCTTTTTTTTTTCTTCTAAATATCAAGTCATTTTTAAAATTGGAGTTATCTTCCTTTGTCCATGATTATAGTTGAATCAACTACAATCAATGCTTTATACAATGCAATGTTTAATTTTGCCTCCCACTGATTTTTACCCTTCATTTCTAAAAATATTTTAAAGTCTTCTTTGAAAATTGGAGTTATCTTTCTTTGTGCATAATGGTAGTTGAATCAACTACAACCAATGCTTAATACAATGCAATATTCAATTTTACTTCCTACTGATAAATTAATTTGTTTCCGTTTTCTAACTTTAGTTTGCCTCAACCAAATGTTATGAAACATATACACAATGCTTTTTACTACATAATACAGATTAAGTACGAAATTTGGTGGCGACCCTTTTACCATTCTTGAGTTATGTCCCTTTATAAACGTAAAAATTGCTGAATTTTTTGTTTCCGTTCTTTAACTATAGTTTGTCTAAACCAAATGTTATAAAACTTATACACAACCGTTCTAGAGTTATGCGTGTTTACAAATAGAAAAATTGCTGAATTTTTAGTTTCTGTTCTCTACTTAAGTTAGCCTCAACCAAATGTTATGAGACTTATACACAATGCTTATTACCACAAAACTCAGATCAAGTTCAAATTTGGGTAGTGTCACTTTTACCGTTCTTCAGTTATGTCCCTTTATAACTATATGATGTGCAAGCGGGGGCATCATCTGTGTCCACATATGGACACTATCCACATTTATTTTTTAAATTTGGATCAGTGGATTAAAAACTGCTTAAAGCAATAAACTAACAAATTGATTTTTATAGACGACATAATATTCAAACATAATCAGTAAAGCAGGTGAGAGGTTTCAGCATGTGTTCTCTTGTTTTATTTTAGGTATGTAAAAGATGCCATGAATTGTGTACAGACTGTACTGGCTCTGGTTCAGCCCACTGCATTACATGTAAATATCTGAAGCAGTTCGACTACTGTGTAGACAAATGTTATCCTATCTTCTATCCAGACCCAAACAACATCTGTCAAGGATGCCACGAACAGTGTAGAGACAGCTGCTTTGGACCAACAGCTGCTGATTGTAATTCTTGTAAAAACTTCAAAGTGTACTGGGATGACACTGATAATCCAAACAGAGTAAGTACAATTAATAAGGTTACTATATGATTTTGATAATCAAACACATAAATCGAAGTGACATATGTAAGTGAGACATTTCTAATAATACAAGCATTAATTACATGCAACACATGTCACCTAGACATAACTGCTAATCAGAAACAATAAGTGCAGATGACACAAGGTCATATGGACACCTCTGATAACCACAAACAGTAAATACAGATGAAACAGATCACTTAGACAACTCTGATAATCACAAACAGTAAGTGCAGATGACATAGGTCACTTGATAATCACAAACAGTAAGTGCAGATGACACAGGTTATTTGGACAACTCTGATAATCACAAACAGTAAGTGCAGATGACACAGGTCATTTGGACAACTCTGATAATCACAAACAGTAAGTGCAGATGACACAGGTCATTTGGACAACTCTGATAATCACAAACAGTAAGTGCAGATGACACAGGTCATTTGGACAACTCTGATAATCACAAACAGTAAGTGCAGATGACACAGGTCATTTGGACAACTCTGATAATCACAAACAGTAAGTGCAGATGACACAGGTCATTTGGACAACTCTGATAATCACAAACAGTAAGTGCAGATGACACAGGTCATTTGGACAACTCTGATAATCACAAACAGTTGAAATATTATTTTGGTCAATCATCATATTCCTAAAAAAGTAAAATTAGCAACTCAGAATTCTTGGATCAGCCTTATTGACTACCACAGCTTTTAAGAGATTTTTCATATTACTCCATATTTAGTAAGGTTCTGCATCTGAGATATTGATATGTGAATTCAAAATAGATTGCTTTATTTCAGTTTAATTGTACAGAAAAATGTCCAGATGATAAAAGCCACCATGTGGAATCAGAAGATACTAATGATGAAGGATTGATAGTATGTGCTGGTGCTTCTCATCCAAGGGTTCAGGCTAGATTAAATGCAGACAGAGAGTATGTATCTTTTGCACAAATTATGTTTATACATGTACATCTTAATATAATATAGAGATAATGAGGTAAAATTACCTAAAACATACAGCTATGATAGGTTGGTTCTTGTCCGAATTTATATCACCTTACAATTTATAGTTTGGAGCAAGACTAAAATGTTTCTTTTACTTTCTGCTTGAATTTGTGTACCTTTTTGTTATTGAACTATATTTTGTCTTTCTGTACAAATTATTACATTGCTATATGAATTCTACTATAGTGTACACCCACTGATATTATACAGATATAAACAGGAAATAAGCATGCATGATTTACTTAAAGGGGCATTAGCTGTCAAATTCATGTTCACCAATTTGACTCAAATTCTTATATTTGATTTAAATCATACTAAAACCTTTATCCAAATTACAAAAAGTCTAAGATAAACAATAATGCATGGACTCGAAATTATATCAGCATTTCATATCTATTTTTGTCTAGACGTCATCTAATTAACCACCAAGATGACCTCCAAAGACTGCTGACGGTTATATAACCCAATAGAAATATAAATATGAATATAAATAGATAGCAACCACGTGCAATTGGATTATTCTAGGTCTGTTTGATTTCATATTGAAGGTTAAAAAGTATGTTTATCATCGTTTTTACCTGTATAAGAATGAACTTTTGTAGTTCGATTAAGTCAACCAAATGGTTCATCCTTGTTACACTTTCAATGTTGACATTCTTTTCCTTTTAATAACTGAATACATGTGTAACCCATCTCCACCTTTGGGGTTAAATTGAAGGTCACATGAATATGGATTCAATGAGATCAGTGATGTTTCTTAGCTTAATTTGACAAAATTGAACCAAACTGGCTGCTAAAAGCGAATTATTTTTTCACTATTTCACTTTCATCAATGATTGAAAAAAAAAAAAATCATATTTAATTTTTTTATTTCTCGTAGCTTAAGTATTAACATCATAAATATACAAATAGATCAAGTATTTGCTAATCGTAAAATATAAGCTTTTATTAAGCAAGCGTAAAAGATGATTACCGTAAATTGGGAAATTTTGGTGTCTGGATATTTTGGCGGGTTTCTCTCGAAAGTCATGTGTTTTATTTTGGTGTGTGTAATTTTGGTGCTTCGTCCAATTGATATGTTTAATTTTGGGACACCAGTAGTGAGCAAGCTCATTCATATTTGTCTTTATTTATCCGTTTATTGACAAACTATAATTGAATTTCTCAAACTAGAAACACGACAAAGTTAACTTAATGAAGGAATCGGATACGGATGCAATTGCAAATAATTCCGTATATCGTGGTTCAAAGCTTATAAAATCTTAAACATTAAAATCACTTTAAAATTGATTATTTATTTTTTACAAATATCATTTGAAATAAATTTTATTCATCTCTATTGCAGTACATGTTAATCTAATGACGATTAAAGATTTAAATTTTAATCCTTATGCCTCTGGCAGTACATATTAATTAATTGAAGATAAAGGATTACAAGGAGTTTTGATATTATAATTACCAATAACGGAGTCTAATCAGCTATAGCCTGGCAAATTTATGACATGTGTGAATGAAAATTCATGTTCTGTTTTCTTAACAATTTCAGAAAATTAATAATTAAGTAAAAATTATATAGTGTTGTTGTCAAATTATACCAGGTATTTATTTGCAGATTTGGCTATATGTATAGAATTGAAGGAAATATACGGAAGATATAATAACATAAAATATTTTCCCCAACAATTAGCATTACGATATTGTTGTACCAGTACGCGATTTCGGCGTTTCAATTTTTAGTGTTTGCTTTATTTTCATGTGTTTAATTTTGGCACTTTCATCGGAGGCACCAAATAAACCAAAATAAAACTACAACCAAAATAACCCAATTTACGGTAATATCTCAAAATAACCAGAAAAAAATATACAGTAGATTGTCTTCATTTTTTTCCATTCATAAATTTATTTTTTTTTAGTTTTTAATAAAAATTCATTCAAGTCATGGTGTGACTATGCATCATTGAAATAGCAACTGAAGTAGAATTTATATTTCTTTGTTTTTTGGTTCTATTGTTGTTTTCATTTCTTTCCATCAAGGATGGATGCATCAATTAAACTTTAATATCTTATTTGTCTAAGTAACTGGATAAAAACCAGCTTTGGATATTTGCTACTAAGGTCCAGAATTTTTTTCTCACAATTTCTATCATTACTTCACACTTGGGTTAGTGGTTTTTATTCTTTCTATAAAATTAATGAAAAAAGTGTTATCCCATGATTGATGTTTAACCATTGTTTTAATCATTTAAGTGCTGAGAAGAAGAAGATATTGGCTATAGCAGTACCTACAGTAGGTGGGATATTACTGGTTGCTGTCCTGTTGGTCCTTTTTGCCTATTACTGGAAACAGAGAGCCAAATCTCAGGAGAAGACAGCTATTTTGACTGCAAGAATGACAGGATATGAGGATGAGGTATATTTTACTCTAAGAGAGAAGAAATGGTGGAAAGGTCAATTTGGGTCTGAATACAATGAACCCGAAAAACTTTTAACAACATGGCAGCTATTAATTTCCTATAATTAATGTGAGAATGCAAGAAAATTTTTTTTAAATTGAATAAGTGTATCCATTCAATGCAAAAATATTGTTCTTAAAAAACACATAGATAGATATACTGTGGATTCATTTATTTTCGTGGGTACCAATTTTCGTGGTTTGAGGAAAACTTGCATATTCGTGGATATTTAATTTCGTGGTTTTGGCATTTACCCTGTTATTCATACACTACTGTTTACAACATAACACCAAAGACTACTAGAAAATATGAATATGTGTATTGACTGAAGCAAGGCTGAGGTCCATATAGTTTTATGGAAATTACTGAAATAGTTCAATTGGATAGATATTTAAAGGGATGTGCAACTACTAATAACACAATTATTCACCCAATAACAGCTCAATACCTGCAAGATGATTTATAAAAAATACAGAATAACCTTACATTCTCAGAATATAAAATTTATTTGTACAAGGCTGAGAAACAGGTAGAAATGTGAGGCTTACCAAGCATTTCTATCCTCTTTCATGACAAGCACAATTTAAATTTTTATCAAGACAATGTATAGTTATTCCCTTTACAGGACAAAATTGAATACTTTGGATGAAAACAGAGAATTTTAATTATGGAGCAGATGATGCAAAAAATTCTGCAAACCTGTGTTTTTGTGTAACCCTGAATAAAAGTTCTACTGAAACATATTGCCCACATCACACACAAGGCTTTATATGATCAGTGACTATATATCACAAATGTGTAAAGTCAATGCATTTTGACTATGCAAATAACACAGTTGCAGTACAAAAGATAAGACAACTTTATTGCAATCAGCATATAAATATCATAGCATCAATAGCATGAAAATAGCAAGTGACTGTATATGAGAGATAGCTGTTTTTATACGACCGCAAAAATTGAAAATTTTTTGGTCGTATATTGGTATGACGTTGTCGTCGTCGTCGTCGTCGTCGTCGTCCGGCGTCGTCCGGCGTCGTCCGAAGACACATTGGTTTTCGCACTCTAACTTTAGTTTAAGTGAATGGATCTCCATGAAATTTTACCATAAGGTTCTATACCACGAAAGGAAGGTGGGGATTGATTTTGAGGGTTATGTTTCCAACAGTTAAGGAATTAGGGGCCAAAAAGGGGCCAAATATAAGCATTTTTGTAACTTCCAGACAATAACTTGTGTGTAAGTGTATGGATCTCTCTGACATTGTACCACAAGGTTCCATATCACAAAGGGAAGGCTGTAATTGATTTTGGGGGTAATTGCCTCAAAATTTTAGGAATTAGGGGCCAAAAAAGGGGCAAAAAACAAGCATTTTTCTAGTTTCATGACAATAACTTGTGTGTAAGTGTTTGGATATTTCTGAAATTGTACTACAAGGTTCCATATCACAAAGGGAAAGCTGGAATTGAGTTTGGGGGTAATTGTCCGAAACGTTTAGGAATGGGGGGCCAAAAAGGGGCCAAAAATAAGCATTTTTCTAGTTTCCAGACAATAACTTGTGTTCAAGTGTATGGATCTCTCTGAAATTGTACTGCAAGGTACCATACCACAAAGGGAAGGCTGGGATTGAGTTTGGGGGTGATGAATCATAAGGGGGTTCAAAAAATTTTGGGGGGGGGATTTTTTTTTTCTTTTTTTTTCTTTTTTTCCTTTTTTTTTTCTTTTAAAATTTTCCATTTTAAGTTGGTTATTTCTGATTAATATTTAAAAGCAAATAATAATGATATGGTAGGAGATACACACCAAACAGGATGTGTAAATTATTATATAATAAGTATTGTGCAATAGCAAGAAATTTTCAATTGCACAGTATTGCACAATTGCAAGAAATCTTCAATTGCACAGTATTGCGCAATAGCAAGAAATCTTCAATTGCACAGTATTGCGCAATAGCAAGAAATATCCAATAGCACAATATTGCGCAATAGCAAGAAATTGTCAATTGTACAGTATTGCACAATAGCAAGAAATATTCAATTGCACAGTATTGTGCAAAAGAAGATACTTCGTATAAATTGCTTATTTCTTGATCAATTTCAATGGGGTTTTATTCTTGAATTCTTGGGGTTCTTTAATATGCTGAATCTAACCGTGTATTAAGTTTTTGGATTTTGGGCCCCGTTTTTAAATTGGTCCACATTGAGGTCCAAAGGGTCCAAAATTAAACTTTGTTTGATTTCATCAAAAATTGAATTATTGGGGTTCTTTGATATGCCGAATCTAACCGTGTATTTAGATTCTTAATTTTTGGTTCCGTTTTCAAATTGGTCTACATTAAGGTCAAAAGGGTCCAAAATTAAACTTAGTTTGATTTTAACAAAAATTGAATTTTTAGGGTACTTTGATATGCTGAATCTAAACATGTATTTAGATTTTTAATTATGGGCCCAGTTTTCAAGTTGGTCCAAATTGGGGTCCAAAATTAAACTTTGTTTGATTTCAACAAAAATTGAATATATGGGGTTCTTTGATATGCTGAATCTAACCATGTATTTAGATTTTTGATTTTTGGGCCCCGTTATCAACTTTGTCCACATTGAGGTCAAAAGGGTCCAAAATTAAACTTTGTTTGATTTCATCAAAAATTGAATTCTTGGGGTTCTTTGATATGCTGAATCTAACCATGTATTTAGATTTTTTATTTGTGGACCCGCTATCAAATTGGTTCATATTGAGGTCAAAAGGGTCCAAAATTAAACTTTGTTTGATTTCATCAAAAATTGAATTATTGGGGTTCTTTGATATGCCAAATCTAACCGTGTATTTAGATTTTTAATTTTGGGTCCCGTTTTTTAAATTGGTCTACACTAAGGTCCAAAGGGTCCAAAATTAAACTTAGTTTGATTTTAACAAAAATTGAATTTTTGGGTTCTTTGATATGCTGAATCTAAACATGTGTTTAGATTTTTGATTATGGGACCAGTTTTCAAGTTGGTCCAAGTTGGGGTCCAAAATTAAACTTTGTTTGATTTCAACAAAAATTGAATATATGGGGTTCTTTGATATGCTGAATCTAAACATGTATTTAGATTTTAGATTTTTGGCCCAGTTTTCAAGTTGGTCCAAATTGGGGTCCAAAATTAAACTTTGTTTGATTTCAACAAAAATTGAATATATGGGGTTCTTTGATATGCTGAATCTTACCATGTATTTAGATTTTTTATTTTGTGGGCCTGCTATCAAATTGGTTCATATTGAGGTCAAAAGGGTCCAAAATTAAACTTTGTTTGATTTCATCAAAAATTGAATTATTGGGGTTCTTTGATATGCCAAATCTAACCGTGTTTTTAGATTTTTAATTTTGGTTCCCGTTTTTTAAATTGGTCTACATTAAGGTCCAAAGGGTCCAAAATTAAACTTAGTTTGATTTTAACAAAAATTGAATTCTTGGGGTACTTTGATATGCTGAATCTAAACATGTGTTTAGATTTTTGATTATGGGACCAGTTTTCAAGTTTGTCCAAGTTGGGGTCCAAAATTAAACTTTGTTTGATTTCAACAAAAATTGAATATATGGGGTTCTTTGATATGCTGAATCTAACCATGTATTTTGATTTTGGACATTGGACCATAATAGGTAAATTAAAAAAATTGAAGTTCTTAGACCACATTCTTTCTGTGTCAGAAACCTATGCTATGTCAAATATTTAATCATAATCCAAATTCAGAGCTGTATCAAGCTTGAATGTTGTGTCCATACTTGCCCCAACTGTTCAGGGTTCGACCTCTGCGGTCGTATCAAGCTGCGCCCAGCGAAGCATTTTATTTATTTCTCAAATTCAAGCCACTGGACGTTAAGCAACCAACAATCAATCAATCAATCAAAAATTCAAGTGCACTTAAAAATGAATAGAAAGTCAAAGTGATGAGATAAGTTAACTGTAAGGAAGTATGCTAAAATTACAAAATTGAAAAAACTCAATAACTGTTCAGTAGTTTATGCATGGGATGTGCAAACTGTCCAATAAAAAAGCTTACCAAATCTAATGCATTTAAAAGAGGTACCTGGTACTTACTTTGCATTAATTGTTTATGTTTATGTACCAATTGTCGAATCCATGATTTTGATTTAATTAAATGAAATATAAATATTATCTGGTAATTATAATTTAAAAGTACAGTAATTTCTGCTATCAATAAATACTTCAAAGCATTGTTTATTATTATATTCAAAAGAGTGGATAAATATCATAATTGCAGTAGTAGAATCTATTTCCATAATGGTTTATCCAAAAAGTCTAAGTGAAATACTCTAGAGAGTAAAAAGCCAATGGAAAAGTAAAATGAAAGATTTATTTTTTAATTTTCAGCCTATCACACCCACAGATGCTAAACCAGATATGTCAAGTTTAAGGTTAATTAAGGAATCAGAGTTACGAAGAGGAGGTATTATTGGATCTGGTGCATTTGGTACAGTATATAAGGTAATCATGCCATTTTATATATCTTATTTAGGATATTTTGGAACTCAAAATGCTATGAAGTAGTCTAAAAATTGTGCAAATTATTTAAAAATTGTCAATTTAAGATTGAAGTATGATTAATGAATAAGAGGATATCCATGTGATATCTAAGACCACATAGGCAATAAGAGGATATCCATGTGATATCTAAGACCACATAGGCAATAAGAGGATATCCATGTGATATCTAAGACCACATAGGCAATAAGAGGATATCATGTGATATCTAAGACCACATAGGCAATAAGAGGATATCCATGTGATATCTAAGACCACATAGGCAATAATGAGATTGATGAACAATCATACCAGATGATATTTCAACATATTATTGTATTTTTGTTTGAAGATTTGGTGAAATGTATCTGGAGTTTGATATAAGAACAAAATATCAATTTTGTTATTGAGGAAAGGAGATTAGCAATAGTAAATTTCTGATCTTTGATGAAAAACTGACTACACACTCTTGCAAACTGCTGGAAACTTGGCTTTTAATGACAGGTCACAGCTACAACTGGGGTACAGTTTGACTTTGGGTTTAGAGTGGGGGGGTGCTTTGAAAATTTTGTAAATAACTTCTTATCCTGAGGATAATAATTATGTGATTTTTGAACTGTAGAAAAAATTAATTTATTGGCCTTTGTTTCACTTGGAAATCATTTCAAAAGCTGTATGTTTGAAAAGAAAATTTGTTTCCAGAAAAAATGTTCAATGCAAAAAAGGTAAAAATGGATATCAGTATGGCATATTTCTACTAAGTGGGTAATTCAGGGTCCCAGGAGCCTCTAGTCAAACATTTTCTAATTAATATTTTAATCTGGACTCCGGGTCATAAATCGTTACTCTTTATTTTGAGTACAGAATTCGTGCTCAAAACACCAATCCAGTATTTAGATTGGTTGATTTCTGAGTCTGAGTATGATAACCCTGATAGAGATGTTAATAAGCCCAAGGCCAGAAAAGCTATTTTTATTCTTACTATGATTGATTTTATTTATTGTGTGTCATGTTCCACTCAAAATAAATCTAAAAATGAACATTATTTCAATCAAATTATACTGCTAGTAGCATTTTGCCAGTGATGCATGGCAACACCTTTTGCTATGACCTAAGTTATGATGCCACATTGGACAACATTGTTGACTAGCATTCCATTTAAGGATGAACTTGATCTGTTGATATTGATTTTTTTGTATGAAAATATAAAGACCAAAAACTTTATTATCTTATAGAAATTTTAAAACTGTTGTTTGATCATAATTATATATTTAAACAACCAGTTGTAATTATGACTATGGACATGTTAAAGTCTGTTTGCACCATAAATACTTATAAAATCTAAAAGTTTAATGATTCAAATTGGCCAATATTGATGAAAGCCATTGAACTAATCTTTATGTATATTCAGGGATTCTGGATACCTGACAATGAAAATGTAAAGATACCAGTAGCCATTAAAGTACTACAGGAAGGAACCTCACCCAATCTGAATAAAGAGTTATTAGAAGAGGCTAGAGTGATGTCCAGTGTGGACAATGTCTGTTGTATCAGGATTCTGGCTGTCTGTATGACTGCACAAATGATGTTAATTACTCAGTTAATGCCACTTGGCTGTTTACTCGACTATGTTAGGAAACACAAAGAGAATGTGGGTTCTAAAGTTCTGTTGAATTGGGCTACACAAATAGCTAGGGTAAGTTTCTGTAAACAATTTTCTTTTAAATGGATGTAAACAAGATAAATAATTTGGAAGTTGAATGATACATACTTGTCTAACCTAGAGAAAGTTGAGAAAGTAAGACTGAGGCATGCTGTTTCCTGTGGTGTAGGCAGCTTCACCAATGTAAAGTTTGTGATTAGATCAGTTTAAAAGGAACCACTTTTGGTAGGTCATTCAGTTGATTAGCATTGTCACATCTGGTTTCCATGGAAATTATTTGGTACATCTCGATTTCATGGTGATTACTTGACCAATTCCCCTTGGTTATGGTTTAATGACTTAAAAACTTTCTCTTAGTTTACCAGTTAAAATTTGAGACTGTGTCTATTTTTAAGGGGAAACACTATTATTTACCAAACCAATTGTACATCAAACATTTCACAATGGTAATAAAACAGGTAAAAGCATTTGACGTATAGTGTGTTGAATATCAATTTTCTTCAGGTTGATATGCAGTTTTATTCAAAATCCAATTCATATTGAAAAACCTGCTAAAATAATGCCAACATGGAATAAAAGTGATTATTGAAAGTAGTCTTAAAACAACAACAAAAGAAAACATATTTCAAATTAAGACTTGTATCTCTCTTGAATTAATCTCATTTGAATGCAAAGCTGTTCAAAACCAAACAAAAGTATTTTTGAAAGAAATAAGCTTAACAAAATATTTTGGTGGATTTTCTCTCTCTGTAACAAAATAATTTCCCAAAATCTTACCACTGTTTATAAAAAAAATGAAAACTGTGCCATCTATTTGTGAGTGTATATTGAAAGAAAATTACACTGTATATATTTTGTTTACATAGAGTGTGAATAAATTTGTTTTGAAGGGTATGGCATATTTAGAAGAACGTGGAATTGTTCACAGAGATTTGGCAGCCAGAAATGTACTAGGTAAGAATATGTCTCAATCGTATATATCAGAATAGAACTATTCAGAAAATACACTAGTCCTATCTTATTTTATTGGACCAGATATTGTAAAAGGAAATATAGGCAAATCAAAAAGATATAGTGATGGTATATTATGAAGATAAACAGGACAGCAGAACACTGAGAACAAGCTGGCTTATATGAAATAGATACATGTAAAAGTGATGTTTAAGGCTAAAAAAACTGACATCTATGTCCAATCACAACATCTGTATTGCTACAAGTTTAAAACGTCAAATTTTACAAAACTTACAATAGTATACACAGACATTGTTATAATTATGAGTTCCTAGTATGCTAGTATGCTAAACTCATAAAGTATTGATGTCTGCTGGATAGATACATTATTTCAATAATATTTTTAAGAAACAATAAAAATCTACTGTTGAAATGGTGTGTTTTGAGAAATGTAAATACAGGGCATTTATTCACAACTTTTTTTAAAATTCAGGGGATTTTTATATTCTTGAAATATTGTGAGGACAATATTGAATGAATATTTTGTTGACCTCTTTTTATTGTTATTCTTCTGAAGACTAGGAATAAGTCCCTAGGTTAATAACTTTATAAAAAATAGTATCAATTAAACTTTATTTAGAATTTTCAGCTACTGGGAAAAAATATGTTTTACTTTTGTTAGAAATGATGTTGATAATACAGATATTATATATTCTTTTTTTTCAGTTCAAAGTCCAGGTCAAATAAAAATAACAGATTTTGGTCTGGCTAAACTTCTGGATTATAATGAGGATGAATATGTAGCTGGTGGAGGAAAGGTAGGAGATATTTTTGCTTGCTTTTATTTAAATAGATTATATATCTTAGATAAATAAATCTATGTCTCATATTGTGTTCATAAGAATACCTCTCTTCATTAGTATGAAATAGATAGTGAACAGTAAAGACTTTCAACTGAGAGCAAACAAACAACGTATTATTCGTTATAGTAATACTGGTTTTTTAAAGGAATGTTGTTGTGTAAACTCAACCGAGTAACGTCTAAAGGACTTTAATTAAAGTTTGTAAGAGAACCCGTTGTTGGGTTGTTGCCCCTGAATTGGTCATTTTATTGAAATTTTGCAGTTTTTGGTTATTATCTTGAATATTATTATAGATATAAACTGTAAACAGCAATAATGTTCAGCAAAATAAGATCTACAAATAAGTCACATGACCAAAATGGTCAATTGACCCCTTAAGGAGTTATTGCCCTTTATAGTCAATTTTTTAACCATTTATTTTATAAATTTTTGTGATCAACCAAACTTGGCCACAATCATCATTAGGGTGTTTAGTTTAAAAAATGTATCCAATGACCCCACCTACCAAACAACATGGCCGACATGGCTAAAAATAGAACATAGAGGTAAAATGCAAGTTTTGTCTATTATTTTTTTAACCATTATAAATAGAGAAAATCTGAAAGGGGCAAAATGTTCAGAATAATGAGCTCTATCAATTGTCCATATATGTCAAAACTGTTAAATAAATTCTTATAGGAGTTATTGCCCATAAATGACAAATTTTACCATTTTTTTTCATTTTTGCCTATTATTATGAAAACTATGATATTTTAATAGAGAGAAACATTTTTTTTCTGTTATGCCTTATATGATTTAAATTATAATAGATAAATAAACACTTTAAATCACAAAAATGATCAGCAAGGCAAAATCTATTAAAAAGTCAAATTTTTTAGACTTTATAGTTTAACATGATCTTATTTGACATTCCAATTACAATATGTGTATAGTAATATTGTTAAATGAATATTAAAGTTTGCAATTAAATCATTAGCTCTTGGAAATTAAAATTTCAAAGTTTATTTGACAGTTTCCTTCAGAATTGCAAATAGTGAAAATTTCATGAAAATTGAAGAAGAAATGAGCTCAACATAAGTTTATGAAAATTTATTGATATACAGTCAAACATGCCATAAAGGGCACCTCTTTTAAGCAAAACCTGTCTTTTCAGGCCAGCCTCTTCTTGTACCGCTGCCGTATGCATTTTGAACTTCAATTCAAAGGTCATTCTCTCATAATATAAAAATAAGAAGATGTGGTATGATTGCCAATGAGACAACTCTCCACAAGAGATCAAATGACACAGAAATTAACAACTATAGGTCACCATACGGCCTTCAACAATGAGTAAAACCCATACCGCATAATCAGCTATAAAAGGCCCTGAAATGTAAAACAATTCAAACAAGAAAACTAACGACCTGATTTATGTACAAAATAATGAACGAAAAACAAATATGATATATGGCAAAAAACAACCACTGAATTACAGGCACCTGACTTGGGACAGGCACATACAGAATGTGGCGGGGTTAAACTAGTTTGTTGGCGCCAAACCTCCCCCCTTACCTGGGACAGTGGTGCAAAGGCACAATACAAGAACAAACTATACAAACAATAAATGAAAAACAAATTTGAGAAACAGCAATAAACAACAACCACTCAATTACAGGCTCCTGACTTGGGACTGGCACATATAGAATGTGGTGGGGTTAAACTAGTTTGAAGGTGCGCCAACCCTCCCCCTAAGCTGGGACAATGGTGTAACAGTACAACCTAAGAACAAACTATAAAAATCAGTTGAAAAGGGCTTAACTTATCAGATCGATACAAAACAGACATGACAGGGTACTTAAACATCCCCACAACAAACAGACACTAAGTACAGATCTGAGAGTACTCGCAGTTACTGACATTTGCCCCGACAACAAAGTTGTCGGGACCATATCGTTTTACCCTTTTCCGTCATTCCGCAAGGAACCGTTATAGACTTTTTTATGCCCCTGCCGTAGCGGAGGGGCATTAAGTTTTACCCTTGTCCGTCTGTACGTCCTTCCGTCCGTACGTCCCAAAATTGGTTTCTGTCTCTAACTTTAGTTTGCCTCAACCAAAAGTTATGAAACTTATACACAATGATTATTACCACAAAACACAGATCAATTTAAATTTTGGTGGCGTCCCTTTTACTGTTCTAGAGTTATGCCTTTTTACAAATGGAAAAATTACAGAATTTTCGTTTCTATTCTCTAACTTTAAATTGCTTCTACCAAATATTATGAAACTTATGGGCAATGCTTATTACCACAAAACACAGATCAAGTTTGAATTTTGGTGGCATCACTTTTACCTTCTAGAGTTATGCCCCTTTACAAATGGAAATATTGTAGAATTTTTCGTATCCATTCTCTAACAAGTTTGCCTCAACCAAATGTTATGAAACTTATATACAATGGATTTTTACCACTCAGATCAAGTACAAATTTAGGTAGCGTCACTTTTACTGTTCTTGAGTTACGTCCCTTTATAACATTATATCCAAGCTGGGGTATCATCTGTGTCCCATGGACACATTCCCCATTTATTTCTAAAGGCCTTCACATATTGAACAGATTTTTAGTATGTGAGTCTACTGTGATGAGTTTAAGTTTGGTTCTGCTCTGCTGATTTTGCCAAAATTGCAGGCTTTGGACTTTGAAAGTTTCATGAAAATAGCAGTTATAAGGCTTTTTTTTCTAAATGACTTCACATATTGATCTGATTTTTGTCGAGCCTGCGACTTTTGTCGCAAAAGCGAGACATAGCGATCCTACATTCCGTTGTCGTCGTCGTAGTCGTCAGCGGCATCCACAAATATTCACTGTGTGGTTAAAGTTTTTGAAATTTTAATAACTTTCTATAACTATCCTGGATTTCTACCAAACTTAGACAGAAGCTTGTTTATGATCATAAGATAGTATCCAGAAGTAAATTTTGTAAAAAAAAAATCCTGTTTATCCGTATTTTACTTTTAAATGGACTTAGTTGTCTCATTGGCAATCATACCACATCTTCTTTTTTATATTAGTTTTTCTGCCAGTTAACATTACATTCACTCTGTGGTTAAAGTTTTTAAAATTCTAATAACTTTCTTAAACTATCCTGGATTTGTACCAAACTTGGACAGAAGCTTGTTTATGATCAAAAGCTAGTATCTAGAAGGAAATTTTGTAAACATTTATTTCCTGTTTTTCCGTATATTACTTATAAATGGACTTAGTTTTTCTTCCAGTTAACATTACATACAGTCTGCAGTTAAAGTTTTAAAAACATTTATTAGATTCATAAACCATCCTGGATTTTTACCAAACTTGTAGCTTCTTACAATCAAAAGATAGTATTTAGAGGAAGCTTCTTACAATCAAAAGATAGTATCTAGAGAAAATTTTTTAATAATTTTTCCCCATTTTTAGCTCACCTGACCCGAAGGGTCAAGTGAGCTTTTCTCATCACTTGGCATCCGTCGTCCGTCATCGTCGTCGTCCGTCGTCGTTAGCTTTTTACAAAAATCTTCTCCTCTGAAACCACTGGGCCAGATTTAACCAAACTTGGCCACAATCATCATTAGGGTATCTAGTTAAAAAAAATGTGTCGGATGACCCCGCCAACCAACCAAGATGGCCGCCATGGCTAAAAATAGAACATAGGGGTAAAATGTAGATTTTGGCTTATATCTCTGAAACCAAAGCATTTAGAGTAAATCTGACATAGGTTAAACTGATTATCAGGTCAAGATCTATCTGCCCTGAAATTTTCAGACAAATCTGACAACCTGTTGTTTGGTTGCTACCCCTGAATTGGTAATTTTAAGGAAATTTTGCAGTTTTTGGTTATTATCGTGAATATTATTATAGATAGAGATAAACTGTAAACAGCAATAATGTTCAGCAAAGTAAGATCTACAAATAAGTTGTCATGACCAAAATTGTCAGTTGACCCCTTTAGGAGTTATTGCCCTTAATAGTCAATTTTTAACAATTTTTTGTAAATTTTTGTAATCTTTTACAAAAATCTTCTTCTCTGAAACTACTGAGACAAATTTAACCATACTTGGCCATAATCATTATTAGGGTATCTAGTTTAAAAAATTTGTCCGATGACCCCGCCTTCCAACCATCATGGCTGACTTGGTTAAAAAAAGAACATAGGGGTAAAATGCAGTTTTTATACGACCGCAAAAATTAAAAATTTTGTGTCGGATGACCCCGCCAACCAACCAAGATGGCCGCCATGGCTAAAAATAGAACATAGGGGTAAAATGTAGATTTTGGCTTATATCTCTGAAACCAAAGCATTTAGAGTAAATCTGACAGAGGTTAAACTGATTATCAGGTCAAGATCTATCTGCCCTGAAATTTTCAGACAAATCTGACAACCTGTTGTTTGGTTGCTACCCCTGAATTGGTAATTTTAAGGAAATTTTGCAGTTTTTGGTTATTATCGTGAATATTATTATAGATAGAGATAAACTGTAAACAGCAATAATGTTCAGCAAAGTAAGATCTACAAATAAGTTGTCATGACCAAAATTGTCAGTTGACCCCTTTAGGAGTTATTGCCCTTAATAGTCAATTTTTAACAATTTTTTGTAAATTTTTGTAATCTTTTACAAAAATCTTCTTCTCTGAAACTACTGAGACAAATTTAACCATACTTGGCCATAATCATTATTAGGGTATCTAGTTTAAAAAATTTGTCCGATGACCCCGCCTTCCAACCATCATGGCTGACTTGGTTAAAAAAAGAACATAGGGGTAAAATGCAGTTTTTATACGACCGCAAAAATTAAAAATTTTTTGGTCGTATATTGGTATGACGTTGGCGTCGTAGTCGTCGTCGTCGTCTGGCGTCGTCCGGCGTCGTCCGAAGACACATTGGTTTTCGCACTCTAACTTTAGTTTAAGTGAATGGATCTCCGTGAAATTTTACCATAAGGT